TTAGACAGAAATTAAATGCATCGCTTGAATGATGTATAATGTAAATTGTGTGCAACACACAATTATAGCTTTTATACACACATAATCTATAGCTACCTTCAGTCCTTGTGTGTGTGTGTGTGCGTGCGTGTCATTCACGTCCTTTGTGATCAAGGCGATGACCTGTAGCCCAATTTGGAAAACACAAGGCTGGCTGTTGGTGGTGCCCCCTGCCGGTCAGAGGGAGAACAGCAGAAGTTGTCTTCTAAAGATACAGAAGACATTTCACAGTCACATGTTTTTTAGAAATAGGATCAAACCATCATACACATGGTGAAATAACATAGAGGCACATTATGAATGCTGAAATCCTTCTATTTTTCGTTGGAGCACATGTGTCGTGTTCAGATGGGTTCATACCTGCCAGTCATGAAGTCATCCACCTCCGGCTTTTCCTCTTCTCCTCCTCTATCAGCATGGGGTCAATTACCTCCGCCTCGCACTAATATTGGATTATCTCCCCGCTAAGCAGCATTATTATGAGCCGAACACCATCAATACAGGATAATCAATATATTTTCAAATCACACACACATTAAGCCTGTTCACCTTCCACCTCCCTCCCCCCCGGTTCATTCAGCACTTATTGGCCGGGTCACGTGTGTGAAGGAGGACATCAAACATTCATTCAATAAATCAATCCGCCAACTTTCTGCCCGCGGTGCTTTTAATGAGGCTCCGCGTGACGAGCCCTCCCTCGGCCGGTATAAGGCTGCAGCAGGTGTGCGCCTCAGACGGAGGTGCACACGGTCCCCAAAGTGAAACAGTGTCAAAGTAAGCAGAACTGTTGCATCCATCGGAAAAGGTAAGAGACACCTCCTATAATGCGCCATTACGCACACGCGCGCACACACTCTCCTGCAGGCTGGATCAGTGTCTGCTGGGGTTTCGATTAGACTTTTCTCACTCACTGTAATCACTCTTACAGAAAGAAGTGATGTGCACCACGGGATGTGGAATCCGATTTTTTTCACAGACTCCATTAATGGTTTATGAAAAAAGGAAATTATGAGCCTGCACGTGAATCATGCGTAAAAGTTCAGAACTAAGATAATTGCGCGCAGTTTTTGGAGGAAATATCACAGAAACCTAATGCAGCTAAACTAATTGTCAGTTTTTATTATGCGATTAGTTATATCTAAATTAATATTTCACTAAGCATTTATGTTGAGTATGGAAATATTAACAGTTGTCACAGAAAGAAACATAACTAATTCTAAATAAATGAAATGAAATTTAATTGTGACTTCGTGGCTTTTAAATTTCATCTGCACAAACATCTCAATCAATGGAAACCTCTGCTATTGACCAAAAAAAATCTATTTTAATTACATTTACATCCCGCTGTTGAGAGGCCACACTGGGTCCATTTCTGTTTCAGCCCAGAGAAGAAATTGCAGCGGTGTCAGGCCTCATGTGCAAACTGCAACCTGATCAATACATCTCAAGAATGAATAACAACAATAATTATTATAGTAACCCTCAACGTCAAATTTAAACGTGTTCAACTGGATCCATGTGGAATGTAAGGACCGCTATTATCTTTTTTATTTTATTTTAAAGTACTATCATCATCTTCTCCTGAGCTGAAATGTGAGGATTGTTACTGGCGCCTCAAACAAAGCGCAGCGATTACATTTTCAAAAATAAAACGAAAATGAAATGAGAAGAGAAAGTCAGCAAACAGAAGCACAAAGGCTCCCTGACAGTACGGGGCAACAGATGGATGCACGGATCCCTCGCTTTTCTATTTCTTTAAGATTCTAAACTCTCCGCGATTAGTTAAAAAACAGATTTGATGAAAATAACAAAAGTGCTGCTTATAATAAAACTACTTTAAATTGTATTTGCTGCAAAGTTGCACTCGGGCATCTTCAGCACAGCAGCAGCAAATGCCGGAGAAGACAAAGAACTTAGAAATGGAATAATGATATTCTTCTTGTAGCCCGCACACGCGTCTCTTCCCCCGGACGATTCTCTTAAGTCTCTGCGGTGGCTGTGCAGGGGTTTCAGGGGGCAGAGCGCCTCTGCTCGCCGCTGACAGTCGTGGATCAACAGTGGAGCTTATTGAAGGTTTGCACGGCAGCTGTTTGCGTCGGTAATTCAATCCGTCTTCTGCTGAGTCCTAATGTTTTCTTCTAGTTTTTATTTTAGCTGCGTTTATACCTTGAGAATGATTATTGTTGTACTTGGGTTTCACATCCAGCAAACAGGCGGTGTCCATGCTGCAATAACTAAATCGACAGAAGAGATTGCCCAGGGCCCCACACAGGCCTATAAGGGCCCCTGAATACTAAATATAAAAAC